GGAAATTTTTTATTATCTATTTCATGTTTTGTAAAACTTTAACTAATTTTTGATTAAAAAACTCAAAGATTTAAAAGTGAAAAATGGCAACACTGTACGAAAAAAAAAAAAAAAAAAAAAAAAAGTTTTATCTCCCTTGAGTGAGACTGTCCATCATAAATTCTAAAGATATACTGATTTTAAATATTTTTAGCACAACGTGCCGTTAGCCCATACTGAGAACAACTAAAAAGACAGCAACTGTTAAATTTCTGTTGTAAATACTTCACAAATACACATTAAAATTGTAAATATTGAATTTTATATTTCTATTTCTTTATTTGTACCAAATAATCCTTAAGTTCCAATCCAAGTTTAAAACTATTATTAAACATAATTTTATGTGCAATGTACCATTATATGATATGTTTAAAGAATAAGGAAATTTTAAAGCAATTATTTTAAGCTAATTACGAATTTCGAGCAAGTTTTACACTGCAGGTGAAGTGATGTTCCGTAGAATGCTTTTAAATTAAATACAATAGTTTCTCAACAATACTTTATCCATGCTTCTCTCATGGCGCATTGTCTGGACAGTGGGAACACTCCATATTACTTCAGAAGGTCATTGTGTTCTATTCAATTAACCACTAAAAAGAAAAAGAAAAAAAAAAAAAAAAGAGTGCTATTGTTTTATGTTATGTAAACAGTATGCGAATGCATATACTTTATAACAAGCATCTATTTATTAACAATAAACTTTCAAACAATAGCTTTTGTTTAAATTTTAAGCAACATTTTCTTGAAAAAAATTTCATTCTAAGGCAGTATCGGTATGAAAGTTTTTTAACCTCAATTTTGTAACAGTATTACATTTATTTTGAATTTGAATAATTTGAGTTTCATTTCTGGGCAGAGTTGTTACGGTGAAACACCAAAATATGGAACATTTCGACTTTCACCGGTGAATGTCAACATTCACATAGTCTCTTGGTGTATGTCAGAAATATTTTCCAAATACTCTTATTTCTGACTTACACCGGTAAATGTCGACATTCACCATGGTGGATGTTGAACATATAAGAATATTATATTTTTCCTCCGTAATTCAATCGCGAAAAAACGCACTTGAGACTTAAAATAAGAACTTAAAACACACAGTACATTCAAAATGAGAAAGGAAAATAATAGAAGTTAAAAACTTACTACATTATGTAATTCAAATCTTATTTATTGCAACGTCGACATACACCGGTGAGGGTCCGAATGTAATGCAATATTCGATCTTTCACCGACGTATTTGGTGAATGTTGACATTCTCCGGTGAAAGTCGACATTCTCCAATTTCGGTCTTTTCACAGCACGGTAACAGAGTTATTATTTAACGTCAAAGCGTTTTTCTAATATAAGCTGATTAATTTGCAGAAAGTTCTTTAATTTTCAAGCTGCAACAATCCCATATCTATTTCTATTTTTAACGTAATATAATATTTTAAATTTCGTTTAATAGGAGAATTTTTATTTAGTTCATAGAGTATTTCAAAGCAATATAAGAAACCAAGCTTATTAATACTTACATGCTATTTTGAGTTTCAACCTTTAGTCCTACAGTTAACTAACGTATTAAAATGAATGGAGAAGCATAGTGTAATGTTCTGTACATAAAATTTCCATTGTTATGAAAATTTTAGCATTGAGAAATGACTGTTTTTAAACTTTCTTACCTGATTAAGGCATAATATCCTCGCCTGAAGTGAAACCCGAGAATTCCCAAAGGGTGACTTTCAAAAGAGTATTGTAACAACCAGGATATGTTAATTTCCTGATTGACTGAGCCTGTATCTTCAATATGCTTACGAATCTGCCTATGAAATTAATATTTTAACATCGAATGGATCACCCTTTCTATTGCCGTTCAACCGGAATAGTGGTTAGTGACGTTGACTGCCGTACTGAAGGCCCGGGTTCGAGTCTCGGAGAAGAAATGGATGTTTTTAAATGTATAGTGTCTGTGCGGCATGGGGCACTGTAAATATGGGATGAGCCAAAATATCTCTAAAAAGGTGGTTGGTAAGGGCAGAGGAAGTGGGAAACCCTCGGACCGGTCCCCCGGGGGCTGTCTCAAAATTGGGAGGAGGAAGTGAGCAAAGTTGTACTGTCAACTGTAGTGTGCTGAGGACTTCTGCCAACGATACATCAACAAGAACAATAGTTTCTATTTGCGAGCATTAGTTCTTATTGGGAATAGCAACAAAGTGTGGGCTCCTAAAATTCATCCTAGGTTTTTTTTTTCAAACGAATGTTTCACATGTGAGTTATGGAAGAGTTACTTAAATATGGATTTAATATAAAATGATGTATTTTTGCCATATTTATGCGGGCTGAACGTCTATTTGAACAAATACAGTAAGTTAACACTTTGGTGTAATGTATAAACACTTAAATTGACAGAAAAACTTTACTTTGCCTTAACATACAAAAATGCAAACACAACTGACGATATAAACATGTTTAGAATTCTAAATTCTCGTCAATGACAACTTCAAAAAACAGTATTGACGTTTATTGATAGACGACTAGTAAAATGTTTTCTTAAACCCATATTTTTATATATTCAAAATTATTCTTTACAACGAAACAAGGACAAATATGTGAAAACTGAGTGAGATATATGTATGTCCTATTAAGAAAATCCTATTTACTGTATTACGAAAAGGACATACAAATCTCAAGATATCTCCTTGTATAGTTTTTTAGTTAGAGAAGGCTATATTAAATTTTTATTTTAGCCTTTTTACTTCCTTGTACGAAGTAAAAAGGAAGAATTGTAATCGCGAAAAGTTTCAGGCAGCATATTTCAACGAAAACATCCATTTTGACTGCTATCGAATGCAATTTAACGATGTTTTTGCATGATATCTGTACGTAAGGACAGAATAAAGACTCATTTCCTCCAAAAAAATTATAAAACTGCTTTAAAATGAATTCTGAAGAGAATTTTTCGTGGCGTCTGTACGTGCGTACGTATCTCGCATAACTCAAAAACGAGTAGCCTCAGAACGTTGAAATTTTGTATATAGGACTGCTATAACATTTAGATGTGCACCTCGTATATTGGTTGCAATCGGCCGCACCAAACGTATATAAATACTATATTTATATATATATCCACTTTGTTACTCGGCACAGTGATCTCAGTTTCTTTACCCTTATATGTTTGTAAATTGTACATTTTTTGTTTTAAAAATGATTGAATTATGTTGTTCTTATCTTTCGGTTAAGGTTTGTATGCCTTTCGTAATTCTGGAAGCAATATTTGTATAATTATCAACAATTTAAAAGCTGTTTAAGTGCGGTAAGTTTTAAATAACACGGCGGACATATTTGTTTACATTCGAAACATCAGAATTGTAGATTTGTTGCCAATCTAGAGAGGCTAAGCTTCGCAACAACAAAAATAACGCCTTCATTTATTATTGCGAATTAAATCATGCTTAATCCTTTCTGGAATTTTTTCGAGGAAATAAGTGTTTATAATTTGCTTAATTTATTTTGTTGATTTTTAATACAGATATTTTGAGTTTTTATGTATTTTTGCCTTATCGCGAAGTGAGAACTGAATTAATTGAATGAGAAATACTAAATCGTCTGTGAAAAACTGTTTCTTTTCTGTTTTGTTTGCTTAATTTCTTTCATACGTCGTTCTAGCTTTATTATAGTATTTCAATAGAACATGTGGCAACGATAAGATAATTTTTCAAATGATATAAATTTTGTGCATTCAGAGTATCGTTATAGTAAACAAATATAGTGAATTTTAAAGAGTGCATTTATTCTATTGTGGTTTATGTGCTGTCGACGAAGTAGATTTTATTCAATCCAATCAATTTAAATGAAATTCAAGAAAAAATGCGTATAATTTAATATTCCGTACAAGGAAGTCATGTGGTGTACACATCAAATTTTTTATATTGTTAATTAAGCGGGAATTTTTAAAAAAACTATGACTTGCAATCAGACGATACCATGCACTAATTTCAATTAAATTCTTACATTAGGAAAAGCACTTTAAGTTAAATATACTTACTTCAAACTACTATATTCTCAATGATTTTTAATCTCACGCGGTAGTTGTTACGATATATATATCCAATGTCAGCATACGAAGGTCAGTCCTACTTTGAGCCTGTTTTTCAATTTGTTTATTTAATCCTGTCACACAGTAGTCGAAAGAGAGGACGTACCACAAGGATAAACTGCAATGAAAAGAAAATTAAGACGTTGAATCAAGTTAAAAATAAATTGCGACCTGCAATGTTAATGATTTTGCCAGTTGTTAAAAGTCTGAAAGATAACTGCGATAAGAAAATGCAGAGTTTATTTTCAATACATTTACAGAAGGTTTTAAAAATATCTAATCTCAATCTTATCATTGTTAATTAACAGAAAGGTGCTTTAAGACTTTTATTATCATTTTTCAATCGAAATACAAAAATGAAATATTACTTATATCTTTAGATATACTCGTATAACAGAAAGAGGTTTGTTTAATCTTTCAAGAATAATCCTTGAATTTTAAATAGTTTATTGTTAAATTCAGTGACTTATTGTTTTTTTGTGAAATTTACAAAAGGAAATGTTGGTTTAATTCTTTAAAGGCAAAGACCTCTTATCAAAAACTTGATTTTCAATCATTAATATGTTTCTGGACTTGCAATAATCAACATAAAACGAAAAAAAATCTAAGAAATTTAATTGTTTATTTTTATTAATACCACCTTCATAGATTAGCCCGCTGAATATATCTACCATTTAAAACATTAGATAAGTAAAAGTGTTATTTACTCCTTTTTTAACCCGCAAGCACATGTGGGAATGACACAAGAATTCAAGCATTCCATGAGGGCTCCCATAGGATACATATTTTATAAACTGACCTCAGTCGTTTGATCGATATCGATGACGGTGTTAATATAGACATAAAGGTGCGGGCTCAAGGGGCATTTTGCTGTGTATATAAGAATTCGCTTTCGCTTCTATCACAAGCGATCTGTGTTCTTCAAGTGTGAAAACTATTCTCCGAATATTTGAAAACATTTCTTAGAAATGATTGTTTGGATTTTTCTCTCAGCTGCTGTGTTTTCACAAGCATTGGGACTTAAGTATACGGACTGCGGTAAGGATTTTAAATAATTAAATTTTTAGTTATTGTCAAATTAAAAAAAAAGTTGAGGTAGCATTAAGTCATTGAAATAGGTTATTTTTCTTTCTATCAAAATATCTGCTGAACAGAAGATTTTGAACTACCAGTATAGCATTTTCCGTGGGATGAGAAAATTAAATCTGTTTCCTTTGTCATCTGTTGGGGTAGGAATCAACTGTCAGTTTGCCTTATAGAATTTTAGGTAATATTCAAAATTTATCGTTAATTGCGACACGAACTGAGCATGGGACTAACTTAGGCGTTGAGCCGTTTTAGAATTCTCCAAAGCAATTTTTGGCGTTTGTTAGAACTCTTTTAGAACAATACTTTTTACTTTTCATAGTTACTATAGTTATTACTTATATCCTCATCTCTTATATAATGTTCGAAGCTCGTTCTTCTAACAAGTTTAACAATATTTCCGCTTTAGGTTTCTGAGACACATATTTTGTCGTAAAAGCTCTTTCTAGAAGAGAAAAAATAACTCCAGTTTTCAGAGAGAGTTCTTATACTTTTAATCAGAGTATCACTTTTAATCAGAGTAATCAGAGTTCTTATACTTTTATTAGAGTTCTTATACTTTTAATCAGGGAATCTAAGGAACCAGGATATTCGTTTGTTTTTTTTGTTTCGTTTTGATCCTCATTATCAGTTCGGATTTCAGCTCCTAATTTCCAGTTCTGTACTGCATCTTTCCAATTTAATTTGTTCTAACTGTAATATTTTAGCTTCTTCAGATTTACGATGCTCTACTATAGAATTACCCAATTCTATGATCAAATCTGGATCAGATTTAAAAGCTTCGCTACTTTTCATCGCTATATTTATTTAAATCAGCAACAGTTAGCTTTTCACTTGATTATATATTATGTTCTAAAGCAAGTAGCTTTCAATATGCCTTAAGTGGACTCAATCAACATAGTTATATTCTTAATAAAATACCAAAAGGCAACAATAAATTAGAAATTATTCTAAAAATACTCCTAAAATAGTACATAAATAATATAAATTGCTCTCAAAGCTGTTAGCAGTATCTGAATAATAAAATGGCACTTTGAAATCGAAACTGCCGACTTACTCGTTACTTGTAGGTGACTTTTAGTTAATTCATAGATCTCTTGACGGACCAACATTATGTACACATGGACTGTAATTATCCTTTAAATTTATTTTCATTAGATTTACACAGTTCATGACCACTCGCAGCTATGAATTCTCTGAAACTTAGCACATACATTCTCACGTAACAAAATTAAAAATTTTAATTGAATTAACTTTGTTCAATGCCATATCTTTTAATTTTTTAAGCAATTTTCCAAAGAATGCGAAAATTCAAAAGTTAGAAAGGGAGTATAAACTAAATCAATTGTATTTCAGCTGAAGGTTTGTCAGCTAATGTCTGAGAGAATTATCATTGATTATTCGCAGATTAGGCCTGGATTTGAGGCCAACAGCATGGACTGAGTGTGACTGCCTTTATTGGTGCAATCAGATAATGACAGCGTTGATAGTATTACAACTTACCGAAAGAATTGAACTTTTAAATGACCAATAAATATTAAGGGGACTCATACACCTTAAAACCCATAAGATGTTCGAATAGGTGACTGTTGCAAGAATTGGGATAACTTATTTATTTTAAAAGCAATTACTACCAACTTTTTACAGCTGATTACATAATATAGCTGCTTTCTGAAATAAGAATCAGAAAGTTTGTGTTACCACACATATTTTTATAATTTAATCCGCTTTATGACAACATTTTCCGTCATGTTTCCAACTTGCGCGCACGGTTTAAAACATTCTGTTTCAGAATTTAATTCTATATTTAATATATAGATTTTATAACATTTAGAAAACTACTGTGAACCTAAAAATTCCTAAGAATTTCGTACGTTAAAGTTTTATTATTATTATATGGAGTTGAGTTTATAAAACGCACTTTTATTAAAAAAAATTTGTGAATGTTTTCGACCATAAAGTTTTTTCAATATTAAATTATTCATCACATTTGTTGGTTCAGTTACATGAAAGTCGTGCCGATGTAAAGAATTCCATCAAATTTCAAGTATGTACCGTTAACCATTTTTTAAAAATATCATGCGCGCAAGGTGGAAAACATGACGTGAACGTATAAAAAATTTTGTCACAAAGCAGGAATTCAAATTACAAAAGTTATTTGTAGCAACACAAACTTTCTGGTTACTAGTTTCCAAAGCAGCTATATTATGTAGTTAGCTGTAAAATGTTGGAAGTAATTTCTTTTAAAATAAATAAAATATTCGAATTCTTGCAACGGTCACATATTCCAAGATCATGAGGGGTTTATGGTGTATGAGTCCCCTTAAATTAGCTCTTTATCAAAAATTCAAGTTTAAATTAATGTCCATTTTCCTATCTCCAAGAATATTACTTTAAACTAAAGTGGGCGGTAAGTTCGAATTCTTTAATTCTTCATCTATTATAAATGAATAGCAATTACAGATATAGATTTACTTATTTGATTATTTTCTCTTTATGTAGGCCATTTAAAACTTAAAGGAAAAGTAATATAAAAATAGGCTTTAAAATTCAGCTCATGAATATACCTGAATTGCAATAATATCTGATTGTAACAAAAGTTTTCCGCCAAAAAACATTCTTAATAAAGTTAGAAAAAAAATTGAAAGCAGTACCTTTAGTGCAAGTAGTAATCATCACCCAAATATGTGATTTTCTACTAACATTTTGGTGGTTTTTCAAAGTCTTCGGCACAGAAAATTGGTGGCCTGCCTCTAGTCCAAAAGCAGATCAACCTCATTTCGGACGTCCTGTGCAGAATGGAAGATAGCACCACCAAGATGTAGCTGCAGGCGTGAAAAAGGATTTCGGGAGCTATATGGTGGATGTGGCAAAAGATCCCATTCGAGTCCTTACAGAGTCCACTAGTGAATGCAGAGTCATGTGGACTTGCATTATCTTGATGGAAAATTACCCTTTTGCTCTGGAACTCAGTTCGCTGTTTTTCCTTGATAGCAACGTCAACACGGACTAGCATCTCACTGTGGACCTTGCTGTCAAGAGTTTTTACCTTTTTCCAGGTACTCTTTGTGGTACTTTTGTGATAATACCATGGTAATTCTACCAGATACAAAGCATGATCTTTTTGCTAGTCAAACTGCGCTTTGCGACGGTACCGACGGGTTCATCATGGGCAAACTCTTCTCGGCCTGTATTGTTGAAGTAAATCCACCTTTCATCACAAGTGACGATCAGGTCACATTCTTCAGCTGACTTCTTGCAACAGAACTGGAAGTAAATGATGATTCTAATGTAATCTGGTAGCGTGATATTTGCATTTCAGACACCTTGTACTTAATGATAACGATATTTGTTTACGAATTTCACGAAACAGTGTTCTAAAGCCAGTCTCTTCCTTTCAAATGCCAAAAATGTTTGAAAAAATATGATTAAACACGCCAATGCGAACTATTTGCGCAGACGATATTTGGAGGTGGTGGGAAACTTTCGTTAAAACCCGATACTTTACGCACACGTACAACGTATTTATTGTTAATGTTTTACAGGTTTCAAGTTTCAGAGGAAGCATAATTAAAATAAGGGACGGAATAAACATCTGAATTCATACTTTTTTATCAGCAGTTGAATTAATTGTGTTAATTGAAAATCATTTCTTGTTTTAAAAGTTTAAATTGAATAACATTAAATGCGCCTTTACAAGGAGATACTACTGAAGAAAAATGTCTTGGAAGAATACAGGAATTTTTAACGAATTTTCTAAGTATTATTTGATTAATTACTGCACCTTAAGTTTTAATGAATCGATTCAATTTGTTTCACAGCAGAGTGCGAAGCAAACTTTCTTTCGCCATTTTTTATAAAGCTTTATGTAAAATTTAGAGATTGTAATTGAAGAAGAGGGATCCATTCTACCTCTCTCGAAATGCACAGTAAAACCAATGTCAAAATGAGGCTGATTTTTGTCTCATTTTAATTATTGATTAAGTTCCCTTGATTAAATTGCAAAATTAATTTAGGTATCACAGCAGTTTCATACAGCAGAAAATGCTTTTTTTATATGCATAAATTCAGAAATAGCGTACAGATTGAGAAAATTAGATCCTGCTTGTTAAAAAGCTGAGTTGATCGCATAATATTATGACACTCTATTTATGTACTGCATATATCTAATTAAAAACCCACGAAATATTTTACAGCTTTCAAGCCCGGACTAAATGTCTATAAACATTATTACTATAATCATTAATTTTTTTTTATTCTTATTTCTGAAAATTACGGAAATCTGTTAATATCTTTACTATATAATTACTCTTTATCTGTACCTCATCAAGCAATTTTTGCGCTTGTTTCAGAAAATATATTTCCTTCTACATTTTAATTAGTAAAAGGATTTGAATAACAATTCTATACGGCAGTTTTCGATTATTAACACATCTATGGTTTCACTGCAATTAAAAATATCAAAACTGGGTTGAGGTTTCTTTGAATATAATTTAAATAGGAAAAAAATTTGTAAAACCTATATCTAATTTAATCAGTTAACAACAAATTTCTGTAATTCCATGAAGAGCCATTTGCAAAGAGGAGCGGTAAAATCGCTGATCACAGGTAATTGGGTCCGGAGTTCGAAACCCCGTAGAGCGGGCTGGATGCATGGGCGCATTCGTGGTTTTTCCCATGTGTAACCTGTATACGAGCCAGTTTTCCTTAGAAAGCCCTCCATGAAGGCATCAATCCCCATAGACAAATAGCCTTCGAGTGCTTTGTCATAATCAAATGAACCACAGTAAACCAACCCTTAAAATCATGTTTCGATATTCAGGTTAGGCGAATTCTGCTTCTTAAAATCAATTTCTGAGTTAGAAAAATTTTAGCACTACCCCCTTTTTTATTCAATTTCATTTTGGGTAAAGCCAATTCATTAAATTAGAAAAGAACGTAGGCTACATTATAGAATGCAGTAAATATCTCTAAATATTGTTATAAGAGTCAATCCAAATAACAATAAAACTTCAATTTTTTTTTTCAGGTTCCAAATCCGGGAAGATACTTGATGTTCAATTGACTGGATGTGAAGAAACTGATATTTGCGAGCTTAAACGTGGAGAAACTTACACATATCAAATTCAGTTCGAATCTTGTAAGTTTACTAGTTTTCTTAATGTATTTAAGTATCAAAATCATCCCAATTTTATTTTCTTGCCTACTTTTATTATCGGGAATGTGTGTAAAAGTATTTTGAATTTTGTGTGCTTATAAATTTGCATATATTTATCTTGAAATTAATATTTAACTTATATGCATGTATGCTCATAGCTTTGAGTATATACCTATTTTATTTTGTTTCAATTTTTCAAATTATATATATATATATGCTGAAAATTTGTGATTAATTTCAATGCGAAGGAAGATACCACCTTCGGTAATTTCCCACCCTAGGTAGTATGTTTGCAAAATACGCATTCCCAACTTTGGAGACTTGTATATGTATAATATATCCAAAATTTTGGTTTAACCAAATATTATTATTTACACATATTTAGCCAAAAATAATATCGAAACTATATAATACATCCAAAATTTTGTTTTTACATGTTTTCAAAAGTCTCCCAACCACATATAAAGAATTATAGGAATAATCCAGGAATACCCTTTTCATCAGATAAAACTAAACCACACCTCCGCAAGGCCTGACATTGCATAATTTCACTGCGAATTTTTCAGTACTCATTACTGTGGCATCATGTACTTTGAAATTAAATTTAAAGAATTTGTTCTTGCTCATTAGCACGCATTTGGTGATATTTTCAGTATATTTACATTTTCGTTTTTCTTTTGACTGTAAGTCTAAGGAAAAGAAAATAGCACATTATCACTCTTTATCTATTAGGAGAAGAGACCATATACTTTATGAAAATAAAATGAAATTTCTTGAGGTGCATCTGGTTGAAGTTCTCCGGAAGAAAGTGGTTTTAGGTAATTTCTGAATCTGTTGGAAATTTTTGACTGTAGGTATAAGCTTAGCGTATGCTATTCACCTAATCGTAAATTAGAACATTTAAATATTCCCAGGCAAGAGAGAGTATGGGACGCAACATCCTCTTATAAATGAGTACCTTGTTATCTAGTGGTCAAGTTAGATTTAGACATTTGAAATTTATCCATTGCGTTTTTCTGTGGATCAATCATAGTCACTGTTGATCTGAACTAACGTCTAGATGTTTTACCTGCTTGGTTCAGGGAATAGTTTTGTTATACATGACAATATGCCCATGTATTTTCTTCCAGATGAAGATGATATTCGCAAATTTCTCTACATTGATCTGGATTTTCCACGCAGTTAGGCAGAACTCTTGCGCATGTAAATGATCAAGTGATCTTGTAGTTGTGAAACAACTGAGTTAATCGATGCATTTTAGTGTGAGAATGGCTGTGTTATCAGCGATCAGTGCGAATAGTGTTGTGTGCATGTGAGATATCTTTTGCATAAATAAAGTGAGTGCCAGGATAGATCTTGGTGGAAGGCGTGCAAGGATTGGTAGGCTAGTAGAGTATATATTAGTTAAGCGAATGATAACTTGTCTATCTGTGTCGTGCCTGTCTCAGAATTTCAAATGAATTTTTAGTCGAAATGACTTCAAAAAATTTCTGCTGTAGCCTTTCGCGGGGAGGGGGGACTCCTAAAACACTGACTGTTAAGAACATTATTAGTATTATCATCATTTTGACGTTTGCCTAAGCAATGATTTTGCAAAGTAGGAAAGGAGGAGCTTGCATTTAAATTAAAAGATTCGCACTTAACTTCACAGCAGAAGAATTTTCTTCTTGCATCCTTCTGTGTCTCTCATAAGGTAATCCGTAATCCGTATGGGCGCGGAACAATCCAGATCGTACGTTTCTATAAGAGTTTTCCATACACAAATTCTCCCAGAAGTAGGAAAGACAATGAAGATGAAAGGATGGCTGAGCAATACACATTTTGCATTGTGTACTGTCAAAGTTTTGTTTTCTTGACATGACTGAATCCATCGAACAGTATGGATGCTCTCTATGAATATCTTTGTCTCATTGCCAAAATATGTCCTCTTTTGAATTCTGTTATATCTTTCATTTATGCTCTATAATTTTCAATATTTGAAGCCAGTATCTCTAGAAATGCTGAAAATTCAAACTCTACTCTCCGCTGTTGTTGATAAAATTCAAAATCATTCAGGGCTTCCAACCGGAAGTGTTCGCGCTGGCTTGAAATTTAGAGAACTGAATCCCTTAAGGATTTCAGTTGCATTGCCCAGCCGCTTTACATGCTAGTGATGATGAAACGAGCGCAATAATTTCTAAAAATAAACCATGATTTGCCTGTTATTTCTTATTTCAGTACGAGCTTATGGAGTCTTAAAAACTCTCCTTAGGATCCTTCTGGCCAACGCTGAAAAAAGGCAAGTGCTCGCCATTCGCTAAAACAAATTCGATACTAGGATAAGTGGGACTTATTACATCTGGAAAATATATATATGTAAGGAAATAACTTATTGTAATTATCCATTGTAATTATTTGTATCTATCCATCCAACTGCAAAGTACCCGTGTAAAGTATATCTGAGACAATATTGTCTGCAATGCAAATTATGCACCATTAATATATGACAGTGTATTATGAATGCTGCTTGCTGCAATGTAAACTAATTCCCGAGCATGGTGTTAGCGTGCCCGGTCAGGGTACACTTCTATAGGATGGTTAGTGCAGTGGGGCGATACCAGTTTTGCCCATGGCGGTGTTTTGGTGCCTCCTGTACTTCTTTCTGTCTGTCTGTCTGTCTATATATGTAAGGTATAACAAAATATAGCTGCTTTAAAAAAATAATTGGCGACCTCAAAATTAACATTCTAGATTTGGTGATTTCCCACTGAAGTCATCTGTTCGCTCAAATTCGAGAATCTTCTATGTTATGTAACAACGTCAAATAAACCAATCACAGACTAGCTCTACTTATACCTCAGACTTGGTATAAATACTCTTGGCACAATAACTACGTCATTCTTCTGCCTAGCTCTACATTGCTAGTATCTTCCCACTTCGCTTCTCTAAAATGCCTGCTACTTAATTTTAAGAAACCAATATACATAGAAATTTATCAGATTTCATTATGACTGAATCATAGAAATGTATCGGCTTTTATTACGATTGGATAAATATCTACTGAGGTGATTTCATATGCGTGGAAATAAAGACTGGAAAGTCTTCAATTCATGTTTTGTTATCTTCATCTGTAAGCCCTCACCATAAGTCACAACGACTTCTTCTTCTATGCTTCAAAAATATTACATGTACATACGTTTAAAACCACCGAAGAAGGGAGGGATAATCATTCATAATCTCTATATATCAGCTGGCTACATGATAATTTATATATTTTATTCTAGACATTAAAACATTACGAGTATTACAAGAATCCTAGTTATAACAGCAGTATAAGTTCTTAAACTTTTGTACAGTAATAGAGAAAAAAAACCCACGCTATATATTTCTTCATTTCGTATAATTTGTTCTTTTAGTGACAGACAGTGAAAGCGCAAAAACTGTTGTACATGGAATCGTGAATGGAATATCCATGCCCTTCCCTGTGCAAAATCCAAATGCTTGCGAGAATGGAAACCTTGACTGTCCTTTGGAAACTGGCAAGTCATATACCTATTTGAACGAAGTGGAAGTTCGAAAGAGCTATCCCTCAGTAAGTGCTTAATATTTATTGGAATTCTTTGGCATTTAAAATAAATTCTTTAATGAAAAAACTATTGCACTGAAGCTGAGGAAGGTATAAGATGATGATAATTTTAACAATTAAACATTGATTACTTCTGAAATATCAAAAATACATTACGAAAATATTCTTTATTTAAATATTTTTTAAATTATTAATTAACGAAATTAATATAATTGAGTAGCATAATTTTGCTGATAGGTTTTATGGTTCCAGCTGGCAGTTAAGAAATCAGAAATCGTTCATGCTATTTTCAAACGGTATTATAAGAACTTGCATGTCTAAATAACCGATGCACCCGAAACATAATTTATCACCCAAATGAAACATTTTGAATTTAAATTCTATATGTTGGAAGATTAGGTATTTACCCTACTGGAATGAATTCAGTTCAACTATTTAGAAATTAAACAGTATAGTTGATGATATCTTTGATAGACTGTTGGACAGAATATAGTGCAATCACCATTTACTGCCCAAAACCTCTTACGTTTGCCACTACATTACATTTTCTATACAGATGCCGCGAAAATATTTTGAAAATCAGCTAGTTAAAACATAATGTCACAAAATTGTTGTTGCATTGGTAGTTTGCGTTAAGTTAGTTGAATTCCTTTATCTTTTATATCTTTAAAATAAGGAATGCTTTAAAAATGTTTACTTAATTTTATTTTTAAAACAAGTAAGCCTTTTATTTATTTTAAAAATCTTTTAAACAAATATTTATCGAATTTTATCTTGGAGCATCACTAATCTTTCAATTTAAAAATTTATTTATAGTATGAAAGGATTACTGTTAGGGTTACTGTTGTTCGATTCATTAAATAAAACAGGAGATACTCTGAATGGAGGTACTCCCTACCACCTACCAGCATTCCCCGCGAAGCAATAAAATGTCTTTCTTTCCCTTTAGCAAGAATGATGCAAATGTATTCTAGATCTTTTATATACCCATTGTTTGCTGAATAGAATCAGGTTCATATCAAAATGCAAAGATGGGTTAATAAGAAAATAACAATTAAGAAAGCAGGAATGTCTATTGAGTTCATTAGGTGACAAATGAAATTAAGTTAAACCATTTTTTTTTGTATCAATTCTATTAAATGTTTGAACATTTATGATTAATGTTTTTCAAAAATTGATTTAGTTCAGCTCTTGTTGAATTTTAGAAAATGATTATTTAATGAAATTAATGGTAACATAAATTATTTTTAATAATTTGCTGAGGGTTGATAGATTATTTATTAGCCTAATTATGTCAGTAAAATTCTTGTTGTTTTTGTAGAAAGGAACTACAATGAAACCTTGGTTCGCGAACTAATTCATTCCCGAAGATAGTTCGTCACCTGAAATATTTGTAAACCGAGAGTGTTTTTCTCCATAGAAATTAATGCAAAATGAGCTAATTTGTTCCTGGATCCCAAATGACTGCTTAAAAAAGAATACTTTCAATGTAAGCTCGTAACGCAAATACTATGATGGAATTCGTCAAATCTTGCACATACACAATAATAATATTAAGTTTATTACTTTAATTAAGCAGTTATTATGATTTCATTCTTTGCTACAACTTTTTAATTCAACATTACTCACCAGATAACAAATAAGTTAGCGAGTTTTTAAAGTGAAGCTTTTGGATTTTAAGGCGAAGCGTGTTTCTGATTCCGCGTGTGCGCTACCTGTTGGTTTCCTGTCAGCTCTGATAGTTGTAATTATGCGGCTTTGCGTTTTATCGCTGCTGACACTTTCGTTTTGACTCTCCAATAGAGTTACTAAACGAGTTTCTAGCAATTATTTAATTATGTAGTTATTGGCTACTATTCCACGTTTAACTTAAATTTGTCTGCTCTATTTAATTGCATCGCCGCGAGCTGTGGTTGATGTTGCTGCACAAAAGAATGCGGCTATTTTCTAAATTCTGTTTAATTAAAAAGTTATTCAAACCTTCTCACGACCTTTTAGTTACTTCAGACATAGCGATAATTCGCTTTATGTTTGCAAGGGTTTCTAAATACCAGATCAAGTAAAACCCTACAAAAATATATACAGTCAAAAGTCGTTAATCCGGACTCGTCGGGACTTCGGCGATTCCGGATTATCGATTTTTCCGGATTATAGATCATCAGTTTAAATCTCGTAAGCTCGCATGCAGAAATTCTAAAATTAAAAATATGAAACCGTAATTTATAAAATAAAGAACAATTATGATCTAAAGGGTATCAAAATTTACAAAAAAAAAATGCTTAATATTTATTTGTTTACTTTATTAAACATTTCTTTCAATGTAAGTTGTTTAAGTTGCTTCATTTTATGTGATAATACTTTCTCTTTAATTCTATAAACAGACATAATTTCTTGTTCAGTTACAAATTTCCGCTGTTCAAGTCCCGTTAATTGCTGTGCCGAGAATACCGACTAACTTGTCAATCGAAATTTTTTCGTTTTCACTAACCTCTCTGTCACATTCTTCATGTCTTTATCCATTTTTTGCAGCAATTCCACTTTTTGTTTGTTGGACATCGAAACATACTTTCGTTTCGTAGATCCTTTGGAAGTTCCAGCATCGGAAATTCTATTTGACATAATCGAAAGTTCAAGTTTACTTTTATAAAATTGCTCTTACAGTCTGCAAAAAATAATAAGCCGGATCCAATTCGAAGATTAAGGAACAACGCAATCATTAACATTAACTGAAATAGATAATTAGATATTTTAGCTTAACACCGTCCGTTATACATTAATCGCGCAGGCGAAAACGTATTCTGCACTTGCGCACACGCATATGCGCAGTAGTCAAGGTCTTATGAGCACGTGTAAAACGCCTGTGCGCATGTACCAACGCGGCGCATGCGGAGAAAGTTTTTAGCTTTGAGGTCCGGATTATAGATCGTTCCGGATTATGGGTGTCCGAATTAACGACTTTTGACTGTATAAAATATATAACACAATATTAAACATATAAAAAAATACTAAAACTTGAGTTAAATTTTACCGTATCTCTAAGAACGAAAGTTTACGGTGTTAGCAGAAAACGGTGAAGAAGCCAAAGGTGCAAAATGTTACTGCTGAAAGAGAAATCCTATTCCGCAAAAAAATCAAGTAGATGCTTTCTTAATGGATTTGTTTTCCATTTCTCTTTCTGCTTAAACCTCTAACCTCTACTTCAGAATCTCTGGTCCATTTTTCAATGAAAAATTTATTTCTGTACACGTTTCAAAATGTTCCTAAAGCAAAGCATGGTATGATCATTGCAAATGTTTATGCTACAGATTTACCAAAATGATAATGTTCCATGAACCTTTGCACTTTACCCTATTTTACACAAATTTCAAGAACCAAATAACTAAGATTCTTCTTCTTTTCGTCTTCCTGTTAAGGAGTTTTCATCACTGCATTAACTGCATTTTGGAGTATCATTTATTGTGTACTTACTTGTTCGTATCTGGAGATATACTTCGTCATCCATGACATTTTTCGATCGGAAAATTTGTTCATGATCCAAAGTCGTACAGTATATAAAAATCTCAAAGAAATGTACAGATTATATTTGATATTAAAGTTCTGCCTTTATTTGTATTTCCAGCCCATCTATTAATAGACTTATTTTCATTATGTATCGCTGAAATAAAGTTTTGTGTTACCTTTTGCTAATGAAATTTCATGACATTATTGGTTCTTCTGCAGAATCTATACCAGAAAGATAGCTGATCTACTACATGATTTTTAAATTAATCTGAAGGTTTATACTGACACGTTATATAATCACGACATATATAGACAAATCTAACAATCAGCTGTTTCTTCTCCAATACTCAGCACACAGTTATATGGCGTAACATGGTGTTAACAAGTTGCATCGTTCTTCAGGGAGAGCTGTCCACAAATTGCGCAGTGAAGGCCAAAGCTGGTCTGAAATAGATGAGGCTGAATTTATAAATCATATGCTGGTTTCTCTTGCGTTTCATAAATGCTGCAGGGGTTCGTATAAAGAAACTATGCAATTTATGATGTTAACTTTAGTGGACTTTTCATACATCCAGCGACCCAGATTCAAGAATCGTGCCATATTGCATGGTTTTCCTGGAACACTCCATCTTCAGAATGCCTGAGCTATAAAATATGCAGTCTTTGAGGATGTTTCCGTAGTACCTATCTGTCTCCAGTCTCTTTTAAATGGGATGAAAAAGTTCTTTGCTAGACGAGATGAACAAGCCCTGTACCATCGAAGGGCTATCTTTTGGCTGAGAATGCCTTTAAATAGGACAGAAGTATGGTTAGTGGAACTTAATTTCACAACCTAAAGCACCTACAGAGGATTGTCAACCAGATATGTAAGATCATGCTATCCGACTCCGCTGTTTTGTAATCCAATTCCAATGGTTTTGAGTACATTTCAATTGTTATGTTCTCTAATGATGTGTAAGCTGTAGAACATGAGAGATTTAGGTTATCATTTTCAATGGATTACAACGGACATTCCTTTTAGAAATATTTGGCTTTTGGCCCACTTTCAGATTTGCAGTGATTTAATGTAATTTATTTCTTCTAGTTGTAATTATTTTATATAACAACGACATTTTTAAACTGCAATTTGCGAACATAAAAGTTTCAACTGTATGACAAACTTTAGAAAGTATGTCTCTGTGTTATTCCATATGTATATCTGCAATCAGGTTTTTGTCTTTCTAAAGACATTTGTTGAATTAATTTTGTCTTTGGAATAATTTTTTTCTACATTTTGTCACTTCCCCCCCCAAAAAAAAATAGTTGAGAGGATTTGTATGTACTCTAGACACTTAAAATAAACGTATGCAATATCAGCAAAAGATAATAGTCAGTTTTTAATTTAAAACTTTGATATCATAGTTAAAAGTAATCCATGCTTAAATATTTTTTCTGTATATTTATATATGCATTTAAAAATAATTCCTTTCATATTAATGAAAAAATATTCTAAATAACGAAAAGGAAATACATATTTTAATTGCGACTGTCATACGCTTTAGTATTTCAGAATCTTTCTTATTGATTTTCTGACTGTATGACTGTATATTAGCTAGTAAGATTTACAAAGTGTGACATTCATTAGGTGATATTTCAACAATATTCAATTAAATATTCAATAACTTTTTCAGGTGCGCGCTGATGTAAAGTACGAAATTAAGGATGAGAACAAAGAAAATCTTGCCTGCGTTATCTTCCCAGTGAAAGTTGTTTAATTCATGCATTAAAAAGCTTACTTTACTATGAAAATCTGAAAAATTTTCAGCAATTCTAAGTCAACACAAGTTGTGAAATAAACGTTCTTGTATTCAAATTGTATGTTTCTTATTGAAAACATTTCTTGAACATTCAATCAGTCCTTATTACTTCGTAATAAAAATGCTCATTCTGTAATAGCAATTGAGAAAAACGCAATACACAATATATTAAAAATATTTGATTGAAATATTTTAATTGAAAACATTTTAAGTCATCATATTACTTCGATCTCCTATAAAAAAATCAAACGTTTCAGTACTTTCTTTTTCTTTTAAACAGATAAAGCTTAAAATGAAAAACATGAAAAAAAAAATGAAAAAAAAAAAAAAAACTTAGAATTATTTTAGGTAAAATGTAAAATAATTTCTAGTAAAATGATACAGAAATATTTTATTTTTAGAAGTTTACTTTATTAGAAGCGGGTTGTAAAATGACTTACTTTTGATCTGTTGTGAACTGACTCTCCTTACAGAAAAACAATTTCAATATTTCCTCAAATATCGTACAAAAACCATATTAAATTTTCATTCTCATTACATAAAATAACTACCAGTTTTTATAGAAGTAACTGATAATAGAAAATTAAATTATAGTTAAGATTAGCAAAGAGTTCAACTTACGAAAAAGAAAAGCCCTATTTATCTGAAAATTAAAAAAAAAGAAAAAGTATCTTTGCTTAGTAGGGGAATGAATAGTGAGAACGTCGAGTGGTTTTTCTGAAGCCTGAAGTAAATATTAACTGAGTAGCAATTAACATGTTTCAAAATTTAAAAATTGCGCACTTATATTATTACTAAGATTTCAATGTAAATAAATAGTATTTTATATATAAGATCTAAAAAATAAGTTTTTTTAATTTGTTTTATACAATAAAATATTGGTTTCTTTAAAAAACGAAATCTGATCCTTCTTGAAATTTTTTTATCGATTAAAAAAACGGGTGTACTCCAACTGCGCAAATGAAAATCCCCCCGGGTCCTGCAATAGTTCAACTGCGCCAATCAAAATTTCTTCCCGCTGTTGCCCACAGGGTTACAATTTAACTTTTCGAAGGCAATTGTAGCCAAGAAGAAAATAAAATAAGGAAATAGAATTACATATCACAAGAACAAGTAAAAAATATCTAACAAACAGGCTAATTACTTGAATAACAGTAATGAATGCCAGAGCTAAGAAAGAAAATAAAAGGTAATGGTAAATATACATATTAGCATTACAAACATCTTTCATTTATTATAATAATATCATAAATTAAATAATTATAAAGCATTCCAATTATATTTTTTATAATTTACATCAATAATAATCAAGAGTCTGAACTACACTGGAACAATTTAATTTTAATAGAGTTTCATTGGCGTGCAAAAGATTATTCCATATCAAAGTGTTGTTAAAAATATTTTTTTGTTAATTAAAATAATCATGTAATGTTTGCAGAAATTAATAGTTACATTTTTAAAAGCTAGCACATGAATCTATTATAACAACATTACTATGCGTTTGGAACACTGACGTATAAATTGTAAATAATTTAAATTATTATGCTAAAAGTTTTTTTCAAAATTTATCTAGAAAAAAGAATTGAGCAAACAGTACTGCAAATTAATATAATCAATCAGGTCTCTCAATAAAATAAAAGTTTATTTTTTTAAACCAAAAATTAAAAAATAGGATGCAAAAGTTTGTGTACTATACTTGGAAATATCTGAACATATAATTAATTAGAAATGTATAATTAAATTAATAACAAGCTAATTAACTGTAACATTAAGCTAAATTTCATTCAATCTAAAATAAGCAATCGATCAAGAACTCCGCATAACTGAAGTTTTATTGCTATTTTATGTAGATTTGCGTATAAAATAAATATTTACACTTGTGAAACACGTGAATAATGTACTGATACTCAACAGGAATTAAAATACATTGGTTAAAAATATAACTGCTTGTCAGAAGGTATGCAAAGTTGCCATGGCTAGAAAAATTGAATGATTATACAAAACTCATAAAGTTAAGCGCTACAGCGTGAAAAGAAAATTCTGGAATAAACATATTAAGAAAATTAGATGGAGAAATAATCCTTAATTTATTGATATCCATATAAACTCTATGCTTTTGGAAAAAGTTACATATAATTTGCACCGAGGAATCAATCACCGAAAACGAGCTAATTTCTTTCCTTATTTTTTCATATTAGAGGGATTTGTAAAAAGGTATGCCAAGGTGAAAATTTTTGCAATATTTTTAAAGAATAAATTAAAAAGTATTTTTACTTCATGAACTGAAATTTTTACGATACATTTTTACACAGTAAATAAGTACAAAAAAAAAAAAAAAAAAAAAAAAAAAGAAAGAGCTGGGAGATCTCTGGGATTGGAAACTCGAGTCGAACTACTAATGCTTAGTGACTTTTCCGCTTGATCATAAGATCTTTTGAAATTAGGCTGTGGCATAAATACAATACAAAATATATAAATTCTACATACATAAAAACTTGAATACAGTGCAATAATATGTGAAAAAGGAATGGATTAAAAGGGAACTGAAAATCCCAAGATATGAATATAAGGGAGTTCGAGTTTTTTTTTTTTTTTTTGTTTTTTTTGTTAATTATGAAAGTTCTGCAGACGCTCATAATTATGAATTTATTAATTAAATGGGCATTAGAAATTAAATGCATGCCAAAGTACATCAGGTAGAGTAACTGGAAAACAGAATAAATATTTAAACGTTTCTAGTATTAAAATATGGAATTTGTAAGAAAGTTAAATAACCTTAAAATAACTTCAGTGACTAAAAATGGAAAGCTTACTACGGCAATATATTGCAATAATATTAGTGTGAATTTAGAACCACTTAAGAAATCCAATTTTTAGATTTAATAAAGAGAATTGTTTAAATTAAATTAGAACTGTTTACCTAAAATGGTAAATTTGAAAGTTAAAACCGTTCTGCTATCTAAGAAGATTTGTTAATATTTATCTAGACAAGAAACTTATTTAACAAATACTATATTGGATAGGTTGACTAAGTATCGGTTTTGTGTATGTAATTAATCTATCAATTTTATTATTCAAAACTGTATTCAAACCTATATATACATCAGCGACTAAAATCCACAACTTGGAAAGTTTTGAATTCCTGCAGAGAATAAAAAAGTTCAGGCTTATCATTCTTTTAAGCATCATAAAACTTTAAAATGAGTGTAAAAGAAATTCATTTTTACTTTAGGCACATCACATGTCAGACTTTAAATTAATATTTGTTTTGTATGCACAATTTTTACAATCTTGATAAACGAAAATAGAGGCTTGCAGTCTCAATAAAATGTCCCATTAATGGCGATAAATGACTTTTTGTAGCACCCAATCTTCTTGGTAAAGAAAGAGGGGACAGGAAAGGTCGCGCAGTTCGTGGAATAGATAAAAGGGGGGAGGGGATTTTCAATCAAATTTCGCGCAGTTCGTACCCTACCGAAAAAACAATACCGAAATTTGCTATAAATACTCAATTTTCTATTTGATGTTTCATTAAGATATTTTTGCAATCGATAAGGAAGATCATAGCTGAACGTAATTTGTTGCATTTTCTATTCATTATCATGTTGCATTTACTGTTCACACTGTTCACCGTCCTTCGTTTGTCAATCACACTGTAATCCCGCAGATTAATAAATAAACGTTGACGCATATGGCAACATAATTAGAACTTCCTACAACAAAATTAGAACAATATTTCAACCAGAATCCTACAAGAAAAGCTATATGAACATCGTTACGGATATGGTGAAGTGTGGTGGATATCCATTGTTTACCATAGGCAATGTGAGTATTGTCCAGCCGTGCTAATTATCCAGATAACTACCCTTCAACCTTAAGGAGTCCCGCCAGGCGTTGCCGTGTTACATAGCTCCCTACCTGTTGTAAATAGGAAGTTCATTATGTTTATGATTTCCTTTCTGAGATGTTTTTTCTTGATAGCACATCTTATAAAAGGATTTATTTCACTTTCTGGGTTTGGAAATTTTAGTAATGTTCATTGATGAGGAAGCACTTAAATAAGTAGTGTTTGTGGCTGCCTCTTTCTCTATATGCATACTGATCTCATACAGCCAAGTTACTTGCCTAAAGTATGTTGGAAAGTTGCCATGCCCCGATATGAACCACATTATTTCCCATGTTATTCAACTGCGAGCAGATCCTACTTATGGGAACAGTTAACAGATCCTTCTCACTTGTTCGGCGTTGTCCCACCAGTTCTGCTATTCAGCTTTAGATTCGTTGGTTACAAGTTTAAGAAAACCCATAGTGATGTCAAGCTGCAACAGCTCAAATAGTACTGGAAAACAGTATCTCTGTTGCATTGCTTTAAGAGTATTATATGGCCAGTGGAGTAACTCAGGTTTCTCCTCAATAAAGATATTCCATACAGTTTATGAATCTAACAGCAGTGTCTCTTTTCCTAGCCAATGGAGACATGTGGAATCATTAGATAAATCAGAAGTGATTTATCAAGATGGCAAAGAGCTGGTCTAATCAGATGCATTTTGACCATTGTTCGCAAAATACAAGTTAGATGCAGTAATAGCGAAGGATTAAAGGCAGTCGTATTTTTAGCTGGCTCAGTGGTCACCCTTCCAAGTATATACTGAATTGAGTACTGCTTCTGCTTAAAGAGTATTTCCACACGTGTACAGGTGCATTATAATAGGTGCGATACAGCAGAATAAAAAACAAAGTGCAAACATAAATAAAATCCGTGAAAGTAATGCCTTGATTTAAATAAGATATATCGTTTGCAAGCCCAGCTGTTTAAGAAGGTGATCCTCTTACGATCTTATCTGGCAGGGTTCTAGAAAATTTTTTCAGAGAAATTTATTTTTTACCTTATTTTGAAAATATTTAATCCTCTTGATCATCATATAATATAACACAAGGCTTACAGTGGTGAGTAAAAACAAACAAACAAAACAAACAAACAAAAAAAAACAAAAAAAAAAAAAAAAAAAAAAAAAAAATCTGAAATTTTTCAGATTTTAAATTACGTCCAAAGGGG